CAGTTTGGAGGTAGGCAAACGTGTTGGGAGTCTTGTTGACCTTTTGGTTTCAACATTATTTCAGAATGAAGAGAAACCTGCAGAAGAGCATCCTAAAAAAGTATGAACCAGTCATATCTTTTCTTAGCGTCATCATCTTAATTATGAGTGTGAAAGGCATACTGAATAATTCCACTGCCGTTCTGAATTATTCCTATCATGAATCCTTAAGTCATTTTTGTTGCCGTAATGTTTAATCAATTAATGTGTCTTTGTGACTTCCGTTCTGTCTTGTTTTGCATGCTTATATCTCATGATTGGTTTTTCACATATTTCTTCCTCCTACGGGTGTTCAGGACAACTTTGTGGCCAATTTATGGAGAAGCCATGCAAGTTGTGATGACCAGATTAGACTACAAAGCTAGATTGCTTCAGGATTTGTCAAATCCATCAAACTCCAGCATCAAAATAATTTGAGTTTTTAGGTTTGGAGTGGGTTTTTTTTAGTACCCTACTCCAAAGTAAATTTCCATTAATCTCTCCAAGAACATTAAATACCACAGCAAGTGACTAAAAGCAAGACAATATTTTTTATTCTCCTTGCTAACGTTATTTTTCAACATCTTTGACAACTCAGTCATCTGAGAGTTGTCATTTTTTATAACCAAGAATGCTGTGAGCATTCTTGTTATATGGTAATTGCTTTAGACTTAAGTTGATTCAGACATCACTGTTGGATCCACTCTCAACAGCATAAAAAATTCTGTTATTTTCAGCTTATTTGAGGTTTTAATATATTGAAATTAACCAAATGTGAATGAATAAAAATGAAAAAAAAAAAAGATTATGTGTAAGTCAAATTAAGCAGGGATTTTCTGCAGCCCAGGTCACTGTGGCCTCCCATACCTTTCTTTGTGCAGTTTTTCTACACTGACATTTGCCATCTTTTGCTGAAAGCCAGTTTATTGGCAAGAATCTGTTCTTTTTGAGCAGAGAAATAATGCTGCTACTTCAGCTTTTACAGACTAAATAGCTTTGATCTTACTATTTTGGCCATAGCCCTTCTACAAACCTCAGTATAAGCTTGGGGACACCCTATTTCCTCTCAAGGAAAATGTCATTCTGCCCAATTCTAGTGCATTTACTCCACACAGCCTGACCTCTCTTCCCTTCCACCTCAATCTTTTTGTTTTTATAGGCATTCAATTCTGAAACAGACAGTTTCAAACTGGCATATGGAGGACATCAGTATCATGCAAGCTGTGCCAACTTCTGGATCAACTGTGTAGAGCCCAAACCTCCTGGACTCATCCTACCAGATCTACTCTAAGAAGGCCTTCCATCAAGCACCAGCTTTTTCCTGCCTTGCCCCAGGTAGTGAAGGGACCAATAAATGAGTAATGCAAACTAATTTCCATGAGTCTACATGAGGAACTTCCCAAGAGGCACAAAAGGATGGATAATACAAACCATTACTGATACCTTCAACTGTTAATCCTACTGAGGATCTAGATAAAGTAATTAACATTCTATGAGAGCCACCATGATGCAAAGCTACTGATAAGAGAAGGGAGATGATTACCCTTCTGTATTGGGCTTACCTAAGCCCTGCCCAGACTGTGTTAGACATAGATACCACAGGTCTGTAAATTTCTCATTCTCTTACAATGTTTTAATATACAGATGATCATTTTTCTCTACAGAAGCATTTGCTGCTATGGTTTCAAAACTGAATAACTGACAGAAGAAATACCGTTATACGACTAGAAATAATGAAAATACTGTCTGCTTATTTAGATATAGAAATGATATTTGTCCTGTGGGATAAAAATGCATTTCTTTGCTTTAAATTTGTTTAAAAGGATTAAAAATGGGGCAGCTAGGTAGCGCAGTGGATAGAGCACTGGCCCTGGAGTCAGGAGGACTAAAGTTGAAATCCAGTCTCAGAAGAGACACTTGACACTTACTAGCTGTGTGACCCTCTGGGGTTAAATCACTTAACCCCAATTGCCTTGCAAAAAACAAAAAAAAATCCAATAAAAGGATTACAAATAATGTTTGGGCTGATGGTTAAACTTGTAGATAGTGCTGCAAGTATTGGGAGTCCCAGTAAACTTTACAGTATCCCATTGTTATAAAACTTCTCATTTCTAGTTTCTAAAACTGAATTTGCTAAGGAGAAAACTGTCAAAAATGTCCAGGGACATCTTCATAGGGAAAGACATGCACATAAGCATGGACACCTTAAATCTTGTGCATCAGTTTGTAAATCCTTCTGATTCTTCCCTGATGATGTCCCTGTCCTGAATCCCACCCCCTGGACAAGGCCCAGGACCATGATGCTTTCCTGGAAGAATCTGTATTAGCAGGACTGTTTATGCAGCTGAATGGTGTTTATTTGTAATGAGCAGCCCTTCCTGAAGAAGACAATATGAAGATCAACACTCCTTGATTTTACAGTACATAGATGTAGATATATAACTTTCTTAACACTGTTGGAAAACAGCAGTATTTGTGGCAAAAGCTTCTGACTTGCAAGCTGTGAAAATTCAGACAAATTAAAATCTAGAAGGACAAGGCTCATGTGCTGTGTGAATTTTCTTTGCCTTGTAAACTGAGACAGTATTGTAACTGAAAGCAGTGTATCAGAAAATAAAGCAAGGCTGCTGAGGACTCATCAGTCCTATGGAAAATACACCAATAGTGTGACAGTTATTCTGACCTACAGATTTTTTTTAATAAAAAGCTTATGTTAAATCAAACTTAAGTACCATACTCATTATCTCACTGCACTATACTTAGCTTGGATTGCTAAGAGTGCATAGTGTTGCCTGTAATTGCTTTTATATAATTGCTTTGTTTTCCCCTTCCCCACAACAGATCATAAGGGAAATTCTATTTTACTTTACACATGTAATAAGTTTTTGTTAAGTTCGTGGGACTATGGCTTTGACTCCACTAAACAAAAGAATAAAAAGAGAAAAGTATAACACGAATTGGAATGGAATTGTTCATTTTGTCCCAAACCAAATTAGTATCAGCTGGTATGACTTAAGACGGCCAACCGAGATGTGCTAAGACTAGACTTTCACCTAGCAGTTAAACCAAGTTCCCATAGGTTAAGGAGATTTTCTGACAGGGTCTACCCATGAACCTGTAAATATAATGCTATGTACGTCATTTTAACACCAGAATGAATCCACTTCTGATTGATCTGTAAATTCCATAGTATAATTATCAGCGATAGCAGAAAATACCTTTGTTGACAAAGCTTACAATTCTTGTGTTTATTTTTGTGCAAATTCTTAAAAGGACCATTATCCTGTGACAGCAGCCCATAGTGACTAATGCCATTCTTTTGCTTCTGTTCACCTATTAAGTAGATGTTTCTAAATCTTAAGACATATCCCAGAATGCTATGAGATCTCCAAGGATGACAACAACTAACTTGAGTGACATATGACACACTTTGACATAAAGAATGAGTTTTTAATGTCTCCTTTCCCATCAAGAATATCAGAAGAGTACCATTCCATTTGTTTCTCTGCTTACACATACCCTCCCTCTTCATTAAATGATTCAGTACTGCTGTTTACTTTCACCTTAGTGATTTCTATGGTTAGCCCAGGGCCTGTGTCCTTGGAAACTGTAACCAAGGTGACTGATTTCCATAGCATGCAGTGTCAAAACAGCTTCACTTCACTGCTGGTGTGAAGATTGACAAATACTCTTTTTAAAAATTTTGATACTGCATGTTAGCTTCCGATTTTATTGCTAAGAAAGTAAATTTAAATTTCTTCTGCACACACTGGTGTAGATGTCATCTCTAAAAGGATCTTTTCACTATATACTTAGCAGCCAACATCGCATCCAGGTTGCATATTGAAAGTTTAATGTTCTGTGAATATCTAAATTTTTAAAGCTGTCTTCTATTTGCCTTTTAATCATTCTGTTCAAGGTTTTGAAGACAGTAGTGTCTAAGTTTTATAAAAATTTAACTTCATTTGCTTTGTACTAAAGGCCACCTAATTGTCCCTAAAACATTTTGGGCCACTCAACTTTGTTAAAGCCAGGCAACTACAGAAGATCAAAGAAATGAAATTTCCCATATAATACCACCTATGGCAGATAAGCTCTCAAGTGCTTTCTACAAATGCTTTTCACGCTTTTGCCAGTATTTGAAATTTTAGTTGACACTTCCAGTACTTCCATTCTACTATAAATAATATATATAGTTAAAAACCAACCTCCTTGTATGTGCTTTCTGATGACAATGTAATAGACCTCATACTATGAGTTAGTCATCCATGAACCAACTGAAGTTGATGGAACATTATCAAAAACTGGTAATAGATTGTCTTACGTTGTGTTGGAAGTTATTTGTATTATCAAATAAGGAGTGGCTTTCATTTATGTTATTGTTTTGCAATGCACGTTACACAACTTTTTTCTTTCAGGAAAATGAGAAAATATTTGCTGTTTTTAAAGGCAAACCATCCAAAATTCATGTGATTAATCCTAGAGAATGTCACACTTTTCAGTTTACAGCCTTTTTACATTTAAGATTAAGATGAGACACAATGCACAGGATAAAGAATTCAAAAAATCCATGAAGCTAAAAAATTCATGAAGCTAAATTTTTCTATAAACCTAAATTTTTCTATAAACCTTTTAACAAACAAAACAGTATTAGCTCCACTTCCCAAATGTCTTTACCAGTGTTTCTTTGAAACAGTTTCCCTATTCACTAAAAGCCTTTAAGGTTAAAATCAAGATGAATGTTACAAATTTTTCACATTATTGAAGGATGACCATTTGGGGTTTTCAATCACAAGTTGCCAAACCTATACTTTCATACTCAAATCACACAGAAGCAAGATTTGTTACCACCCAACACATTGGTTCTCTCTCTTCCTGCCGTAGCACAGGTTCCCAACCTTCCCCTTCTGAAGCAGGCATGACAGAGCCTCAGAACAGAATAGGTGTTATGACAAAAGGTCATCTCCCTTCCAGAAGACTCATCAGGCAGGGGGAAAAATATTTTATTGATAAGAGTGAATGAACAAAAAGTCTGGAGAACACAGTTGTAACTATTGGCATTGTATTTCACTGTCACCTTATACCCAGAAGCAATATCAAATCTAGAAAGACTTGAGACTAGGTAGATTACAGTTAGAGTTAGTCTGACAATACAACTACTCCCTAGGATTATGGGTAATAGTTCATTTAAAATGACAGGTGTTGAAAGTTCCACAAAGCCCCTGTAAGGCTGTGCTGTCCAAGGTATTAGTCACTGAGCAAGTTACATAACATTTCTGCAGTTAAATCAAATGCAGTCAAGAAAAGCCATTACTGTTAAGTGTTTATGATCTTTTTTTTTTAATATAAGTAGAGGCACTCTTTTTCTTTTTTAAGATACCTATAATGAAGGGGAGGACCTAGTGCTTTAGAGCACTCCACTTAACAATGGGGTAATAAAAATAAGAACTTTTTTTTTTTGAGCAAACACATTATTCTCACTGTTCCAGCAATGCTTGTCTGTGATATTAATATCTGCCCATCTGCAACAGTGTGAATGGGTATGTATGACTCAGCTGGAAAGCCTATTTTAAGCAATGTTCATAATTTTGTCAGAAGGACCATATTTTATCATTTCTTTCTTTTACCCTTACAAGAAACATAAAAGGGAATCATTATCAGGAAAACAAAAATCTGCCTAATAGAAGGTTAAGAAGATTACAAGTTTACTAAAAGTACTAATATAATCCAGGATCACAAAGTGATTCCAAGATGGTTTCTGCAGCAAATTTCATTATCTTTACTTACAATTAAATAAAAGTTTACTTATTTGAAGTTGCAGGTTGAGTGAATCGTGAATGAGAAAGAATAGAGTTGACCCACTGAGGACTGAAGCATTATATAAATTTTTTCTAAGCAGGTGTTTCATAGTTGGCAACCTTGAGTAAAAAGCTTGTGTCTGAAGGATTGATCCTAGCACAAAGTGACTATCACTTTGAATTGAGCTCAGATAACCTGCAATAATGTCAAAGGCATAAAATTTAGGGTGAGGAAGAGCAAAACATGTCATTAGATTATTTAACTTTCAAACTGTTAAAAATGATTAAAAGCTGGATAAAGATTTTTGTAAACACTATTTCAAAAGGTTACTTTTAAAAATGTCACTAGCAATGCAATGTGTCCCTTCCCCCACCCTCCCCACCTCTTAAAATAGACTTGAACACCCAGTGTAAAAAACACTTGAGGGAAAACCAAAAGTCGATCATTTGAAAAGAAAGGTGTAGAGGGTAGCAGACAGTGTGTAGCAGATGCTGGTACTGCTCAATGGAGCTGCTGATGCAGGCTGCGGTGGTATTAAATCCCCCAGTAAGGCATCAGGTGTCGAGACTCTTTCTCATAAACGTCCGGGACAATGCCATAAGGCGTCTGTACCATTTTAACTGTTGACTTCCCAAAGAGCTGACGTTCATAGTCTATCAGCTGCCTCCAGAAACCTACGTTGGGCCTAATTACAGGCCTCCGGGCTTTGACCCAGTTGTATGCCTCCAGCAGACACACGTTGTGGTACTTCATCAGGTAAGCGAGGCAGAGGGTAGCAGAACGGCTCACACCAGCTGCACAGTGCACCAGAGTTGCCCCGTGCTTGCGGCTCACACTGTGGATCTTGTCAGCCACAGTGTCAAAGTACAGCCCAATGGGGGCATGGGGCATGTCGGCCAGAGGCACTTTGACATATTCGAACTGAGGCCAGTTGAAATTGGGAATCTCAATGGTGGCATTGACAATGCAGGTGATCCCACGGGCCTGGAGGAGATGGCGGTTGGAGGCAACGCTGCCTCTGCCCAGGTAGAGAGAAGAAGTGATCTGGGCAATGCCTCCAAGCTCTCCCTCGGAAATCATTCGAGGGGCCATCAGAGTTCGTGGTAGTGTGCTATGACCTCTGGAGCTCATGAAGACACTAGCAATCACACTTTCATCATTGGGAGGAGGCCCACCTCTTTTTCCTTCCACCAAGAAACCAGAAACTATCACAACCTTGTTCCTGCAAAACACAAATAATTATCAGTACATAAAAATATTAAGTCTGGAAAGCCTGTGGCTGTGTGAGAAATATAAAAAACTCCTATCAGTGATCTGTTCTTTCCCAACTATAGACAAATCATTTTCTAAAAAAAAGAAAACTCTAAGCATTGAGTATTATCTGTAATATCTGAACATCAAATTCAAATGCAGATGATCACATAGAAAAAGCTCTCCTAGTAACTTGTCAACAGACTCAAGGAAAAGAACATAAATGCCAAATGCCGAACTCCCAACACCCTGAAAAAGTATTCAATAACAATATAGTTTAGGATCATAGGAACACAGAGAGCTAGAAGGTACCCCAGAGTCATCCAGTCTGATCCCCTCACCTTTGAGATAAGAAAACATGCCCCCTTGCAGATTACTTGGCCAAGGTTACATAGATGGCAGAGCTAGGATTTCACTTGAACCTGAGTCAGGTGACTCCAAATCCAGCATTCTTTCCACTTTATATTGTGAGGATGACATCCCCATAGTTGACAACTTTTTTTTTTTTTGGTGAGGCAATTGGGGTTAAGTGACTTACCCTGGGTCATAAAACTAGTTAGTGTCTGAAGCTGGATTTGAACTCAGGTCCTCCTGACTCCAGGGCCAGTGCGCTATCCACTGCACTGCACCACCTAGCTGCCCCAACACTGACTTTTTAACAGTCCTTCATAAAAAGATATTCATGGGACTTTTTTAAAAGAACCACTTTTAGTCAAAGGACATGAACATGTGGTTTTCAGAAGAAATCAAAGCTGTCACTAGTCATATGAAAAACTGCTCTAAATCACTACTGATTGGAGAAATGCAAATTAAAACAACTCTGAGGTACCATCTCACACCTATCAGATTGACTAATACGAACACTTAACACTTACTAGCTGTGTGACCCTGGGCAAGTCACTTACCCCCAACTGCCCAAAAACAAAAAAACAAACAAAATGGATTGACTAATATGATGGAAAAGGGAAATGACATCTTGGAGGGGGTGTGGAAAAATTGGGACACTAAATGCACTGTTGGTGGGGTTGTGAACCAACTGGAGAGCAGTTCTCTCCATTCTGGAGAGCAATCTGAAACTATGCGCAGAGAGCTACAAAACTGTACCTACCAGCAATAGTACTACTGGGTCTGTATCCCAAAGAGATTTTAAAAAAGAAAGGAAAAGGATCTATATATGCAAAAATATTTCTAACAACTTTTTTTGTAGTAGCTAAGAATTAGACAATGAGGGCATGCCCATCAACTGAGGAATAGCTGAGAAGTTGTGGTATATGATTGTGATGGAAAACTGTTGTGCTATAAGAAATGACAAGCGGGATGCTTTCAGAAAAACCTGGAAAGACTTAAATGAACTGATGTAAAATGAAATGAACAGAACCAGGAGAACACTGCGCATAGTAACAACAATACTGTACAATGAGCAACTATGAATGACTTAACTATTCTCAGCAATACAGTGGTATGAGAAAACTTCAAAGGACTCATGATGAAAAATGCTGTCCGCCTCTGGAGAAAGAACTGATGCAGATCAAAGCATACCATTTTTACTTCATTCTTCTTGGGTTTTGTGTGTGTGTGTGTGTGTGTGTTTTCTTTTGCAACATGGCTAATATGGAAATATGTTTTGCATGACTATACATGTGTAATCTGTATCAAACTGCTTACCTTCTCAAGAAGGGGGAGGGGAAAGAAGGGAGGAAGATACTTTGGAATTCAAAACTTTTAAACTCTTATGTTAAAAAAACTGTTCCACATAACTAAGAAAAAGAGCCTTTTACAAAAAGAAGCGCTTTTTCCTCTAATCAGTGTGAAACTATGACATGCTTTTGTTTTTCTTTACTGAATACCAACATTTTCTGAGATCCGCTTAGTCTAGCATATTAGATAGACATTTTTCTCAGCTTAAAAGACCAAACTTTTCCAGGAAAAAAGCTATAAGGACTATTATGCCCCAAGCATTTTTGGCTGTCCATAGTTTTGTGTACATAAAGTATTCTAATCTGCTCGACATATAAATCTGTACCTTCCTCTGCCAATCTTAAACCCTGTGAAATTCCTCAGATAAATGGGCTTAGGGACATGGATCTGACAAAAACTAGTCTTTCACTATGTGATATTAGGTATATCAGCTCTTCCCACACTTCGTAATTCATAAAGATCCTGTCACCTGGCTTAGGATAGGAGGGGAACCTAAGGAGCAAAAACTGTATCCACACCCAAGGTAAAACCAAAACAGCCTTAGAATTAACAATGAACAGAAGCAGTATATGCCCACTTACTTGCAGTGAAAGCTCTGGTGTGCTCAGGAGCCCTCCTCTGTATGTGGAAAATCCCAGGAAAGCAGCGTTGGTCACAGTGGCTACAAACTGGAGCTATATAAAGACAGCAATGCAGAAATATGACTTGTTTTTGTGGACAAATGATAAAGTTCATAGAAATCTTAGGATTCTGGAGCTGGCAGAGACCTTAGAGGTTTTAGAGACCACCAATTTTCAAGTTAAAAGAATACGTAATAGAAAGAGAATATGCTAAGCCGGAGCTGGTTTGTATTAACCTGGCAAAGTGCAACTGTTTTCTAGATGCAACAACAACAAAAAATACTTTAAGGAGTACCAGCTATTTAATGCTCAACTTTTCTGCAAAAAAACATACACTGTGGTGTAAAAGAATGTTACGGTATGCAGTGTTTTAGATTACGTCATTGAAGAGGAAGAATCATTTATCAAATAACAACACCAATAGAAAAATCCTGTCAGTATTCAGACAATTAAACATAGCAAAATCCTGAACAATAGTTTAAATGTAGTGCTAAATTTCACATCTGTGAATTCCTAAAGTAGAAAAGAATACATGTCCATTCAGGACACATCAGGTGTGGGTGTTGCTGAAATGTTTTAGAAGTTTTCTATTTTTTAACAATTTTTTTTAAACATCAAACTAATCATTTCAACTGACAAAGTGAATTAACTGGTTATAAATTAAACACAAAATATCAATTTTCTAATCTGTTCCCCTCCCCCCAAGTGCCCATCAGGATTTTTCTTGTTTCTTTTCTTTCACATGGTCATTTAGTGTGTGCTCCATTCTTTTGGTTCTTCTTGTTTCACTCAGTGTTACTTAATAATGGTATATACAGGATCCTTTGTGCAGTCCTCAAGTCCTGGGTCCTAATATCAGTATAGTGGCCCCATTATATTGATGGGCAAAATTTTACTTTACCATTCCCCAGCAGAAGGGTAAGCTCCTTGAGAAGGGGCTGCTTCATTTTTTTACCTTTACATCTTCAGTGCTTTGCATACAGTAGCCCTTTCGTGTTTGTTGAAGTGTTTAAAATATAGGTTGAAGCTTGTAAAGTTTTAAAATATTAGAAGAACAGCTACTCTTCCTTTCCTGCCAACACTTTTTCAAGAAGATGAACAACACCGCACATTTTGGAAGCAAATTATGCTTCCTTCTTCTCAATATAAGGTTAATTAAAGCTATACCAAAAGGATATATGTTTCATGAAAAAGGTAAAAACCATGCAACTTCCATTTCTGAAGAGTTTGGTGGCCATGCACTATTATGTATTTAGCTTCTTCCCTGAAGCCAATCCTACATTTCTACTTATGATAAGCATCTTTCTTTCTATAACCAAACACTGGACATAACTCATGGAGATTGTCACTGAGTTTTTGAGGTTTTTTTGTAAGGCCCATTTCTTCCAGGAGGCCCTTCCTCATCAGACAAACAATGAAGTCACAAACACATATCTTCTGCCAAAGGAAAATCATTTCCTCTCTCCGAAGCTTAATTTTTTTTAGTGCACAATGTGCCATTGATAATATTTTGAAGCCTATTCACAGAGAAATGTCCACCACAGGTTTCAAGAACCCTTACCTTTTAGGTGATCCATAATTCTGATTCTACAAAGACTTAATAATTCTGTGATTCACAGCTATAAAAACATTGGATGGTTACTCTCGTGAAGAATATACTTTTTCGCTCCCTAACACAGGTCTGCACAACCTGCGGCCATGATCACTTACGGCCTGCCAAAGGATTTCTGGCTGCCCACAAAAAATGGAGAGGAAAACTTTCTTGGGCCTCCTGAAATTTTCTGGAGTGCCACAAGTGGCATGAGGACAATTGGCCCATGGGCTGCAGGTTGTGCAGGCCTGCCCCAACAGATAAGTGGCCAAAGGATCAAAGTGAAAAAATTCTCAAAAGAATTGCAAACTATTTAACAGGAATGTATAGCCTATATCAGACTGCAAGCTGTCTTGGGAAGGGAGGTGGGGAGGGAGTCAAAAGCTTATGGAAGTGACCGTTGATAAAGCAAAATAAATTAATAAAAAAAAATTACAAATTATAACAACCATAAAAGAATGCTCCAAATCACCAATTAGAGAAATGCAAATAAAAACCCAGAGGTTTCACCTAACACCCTACAAACTGACCAAGAAGACAAAAGATGAAAATAATCAATGTTGAAGAGGCTGTGGGAAGATAGGCAGGCACACTACTGCATGGTGGATAGAGCTATAAGTCAGTATAATCATTTCCAAAGCAATTTTGAGTTAGGCAATCAAAGCGACTAAAATGTCCACACTGTTTGATCCAGAGAGTCCATTATTATTAGGCTTATACCCAAAGGCCATTAATAAGAAATTCACCATATACACCAAAATATTTATATTAGTACTTTTTATAGTAGCAACAAATTGGAAACAGTAGGATATCTATGGACTGTAGGACAGCTAACTGTACATAAATGTAATGGAATATGACTCTGCTTGAGAAATGATCGGTGTGATGAACACAGAAAAGCATGGAAAGGTCTACATGAACTAATGCAAAGTAAGCAAATCCAAGAAAACAACATATACAATGACAAGGGAAAAAAAGGAGCAAGCATGACTTCAAAAAGAAAATGAGAAGACTCGCATACACTACACATATTTTCAGACTTTTTAATGGATTGGTAAGTTTTGCCAAATTTCTTTCTTAAAATTATTACTTGTTATATGACATAGCTCTCTGGGAACGGGAAGGGGAAGGGGAAGGGATACTGAGGGAAATTTTTGTAATGTAAAAAAAGGTAATAAAAATTTATTTTGAAAACATTACCTAAAATTATATTGTAAGAAAACAAATATGAAGAATGCAGAGAATATGAAATAAAGCAAAGTAAAACCAGAAAAATATAATGATCACAACAATGTAAATGAAATACAACAAAATCAAAAACAAATGCTGTCAAAGTATAATGACAAATCTTACAATGGCCAAAAATAAATAAATAAATAAATAACCTCCCCAGTTCCTATGAAAAGGCTGGACAGTATAGGTGTGTAAACACTGCTTTTAATGTCAGCCTTTTTTTATGTATTAGTTTTGCTGAAACCTTTTCTTCCCTCTTTTAAATTTTTTTGTTATAATGGCTCTCTGGGAGAGGGTCAGGTAAAGGGACACAGTAGGAAATGCAGGTGATATAAAAGCAATCAATAAAAATTTAATTATTTTTAATCATCTTTTTGTTTCCAAGAGAAGTTTGAGCATGTTGAAAGCCACGCATGATTTCTCAAATACAATCTGGCCCTTTCTGTGCCTTGTAACTATTTGATTCTGGGGCCAGTTCAATATTATCTGAAGGTGATCCAATACTGATGGACCATCTGAAAGGGCTCTCCATCCGTAGTCTGAACAAGAGGCATTCTCCACCCACCTGGTTCTTCCCTGTGGACAGCTGAGAATACAAATTCCTTGAAGACTACTTAATGCATTCCCTGGAAGCTTTATAAATGCTTAAATTCAACTTCAAGCTTCAGCTCATCAATGCTTTCCCTAAAATAACAGCATCTAGAACTTGTCAAAAATATTTCAGATGTGGTTTAATCAGTTCAGACTACAATGGGAATGTAGTTACAGACACACAAGTCTCTCAGTGCGGCTGCCTTGGTTGCCATGTCACATCACTGTTTCATTTTGAGCTTTCAGCACACTAAAACTCACAGATCTTTTTCACACAAAGTGTCTAACTGTGCCTACCCCCTAATCTTGTATTTAGGAAGCTGATTCTTTGAACCAAGCATAGAGTTATACATTAATCCCTATTAAATTTCAACTTAGTAAGACTAAGCCCCTCCCCCCAAGATCCCTTTGGATTCTGGCTTTGTATATAAAATGGCTCCCAAGTTCACGTCAACTGCAAATCTGACAAAGCAGGTCAACTTATGCCTTTACTGAGGAAACTTTAACTGAGGAAAATGCCAAATAGCACAGGACCATTAATGAACTAGCCCCTGAGTTGTTCTATTAGAAATCTCTATCCAAGCTGACATCAACATATTAATGACTACTCTGATCGTTTGATAAGTTCTGAATTCACCATTTCTCCATCTTGTCCAAAAGAGTAGTATGAAAAATTTTCAAAAACTATGCTGAAAATGTAGGTATATAGTGTCTACAAAACTCACCTAATCTAACAGACTAGTATATCTTTCAAGAAAGAAACTAAGATAGTCTGGAATGACCTGTTTTTTGGTATCATGATACCTCTTCTTTCCAAAAGTCTTCAACCGGACCCAGGACAATTTATGTAATAACAAAAATACTGTAAAGACTGACAACTTAGAAAGCCTCGGGAACTTTGATACACCAACCAACCAAAATTCCAGGACTCATGACAAAACAAGCTGCCCACATCCTGTCAGAGACTCTGACAGATTCAGAGTGCAGACGGAGACGTTGTTTTGAAAATTTTTGGTTTTCTTTTTTTCTCAATGGATGCCCGGGGTGGGGTGGGGGGGGGAAGAAGTGATAGTAGGGAGAGAAAGTAGATCTTTATTTGGTTTTTCTTTTTCTCCCCACACTTGCATTTATTGTTCTATTTTTTCAAACATTTTACTTTTTTCCAATTATATGTAAAAAACTTTTAACATTCTTTTTTTTTAATTTTGAGTTCCAAATTCTCTCCCTCTCTCTTCCCCCATCCTTGAGACTGAAAGCAATTTAATATAAGTTATATATGCACAGTCATGTAAAACATATTTCCATATTAGCCATGTTGCAAAAGAAAACAAAGACAAAAAGCATAGTTCCAAATAGCTCTCTAGAATGGTTAGATCAGTTCACAACCTCACCAACAATGCATTAGTGTTCCAATTTTCTCACATCCCCTCCAAAATTTGTCATTTTCCTTTTCTGTCATATTAGTCAATCTGATAGGTGTGAGATGGTACCTGAGAGTTGTTTTAACTTTCATTTCTTTAATCAATAGCAATTTAAAGCATTTTTTCATATGGCTAGTGATAGCTTTGATTTCTTCTTCTGAAAACTGCATATTTATATCCTGTGACCATTTTTCAATTGGGGAATGACTCATATTATT